GTGCGTGGTGTGGTTGGTCAGGTTCTTTGCCGTTGAGGAGCCATATCCTCCCACGCCAAACGCAAGGGGCTGGTGACCAGCAGCTTTTTACAGGATGAGCTGTGAACATGGCCCTGGTCAAGGATCAATAGCTTTGCTCCGCACACACCTCTGTAGGCTCACACACACACAAACACAAACACACACCACACACACACCCACACACACACCACACAGACCACACACACTCAGCCAGGCAAGGGAGTGAACTGTGAATGAGAAGGAGACTGTTGAGATTCATAGAGGATTATAGGAGCTGCTGTGGATCTATTTATACCTGGGAGAATCTTCATTCCACTGGGCTGATACACACACACACCCACACACCAACACTGGAGCGTCTGTGCAACCCTCAAAACAACACCTAATGATGTCACTCCTCAGGGGAGAAGACGGTCAAAAACACACATACACATGCAAGCCCAAAAGAGGAGGTCATTAGGCGCCCTTAATGAGAAGACAGATTGGCAAGCAATAACAGCAGCATAAGAAGGCATTATTGCCTGGGACTGGCTGGGCTACAGTCAGTTGTAAATGACCCAGAGGAATTATGGCTAACAGGCCATAGAATGGCCTGCAGCAGCCATGGGGGTGAGAAGACTAACAAAGGCCCTGGTCTCCCACTTGGAGGCTCCAAGGTTCCGCTGCGCTTAGGCCACATGACAGCTAGGCAGGTTTCACACTGCCAGGGTCAAGCCTTACTACCACTGCCTGGTCAGCCCACAAGGGAGAAAGTCTGTTGTCAGTGCAGTCTTAAAAAGTCTAAAGGAAGTCTAAATGCAATAATCAGAAATAAGATAATAAATTAAGCGCTTAAATATGATTTTAAGCATCCTATAACTTTAACTAATTTTTATTTTCTTTTTTTGGGCCTTTTTATTTGAGAAGACAGCTGAATGATCGTCCAGGAAAAGGGGTGGGAGAGAAAGGGGATGGCACGCCAGCAAAAGGGCCGCAGGTCGGATCGAACCCGCGGGTCGCCAGCCCTCTACTGACTGAGCTAACCAGGCCACCCCAACTTTAACTAATTGGACTTAAAACTTGATTGGATTTAATGAGGTTAATGTTACTTTGCTATAAAAATGCCACTTTTCAGTTCCCCTCACTTTTGAATGTGTTTTTAGGGGGGAAAAAAATTGTATTGATCATGCTGTGACTGGACACACAGGTTTTTTGTACTTTTTTTTGTCAGTATGTAGTATAATAGGTCTTAATATTGCATTCATATGTGGGTCTTACAAAGCTCTTAAATATTTAAGTCAAAAAACAAATGCCTCCAATGTTTCTTTTATCAACATAGAGTTTCCAAAAACATGTAGATTATAGTCTAATAAAACTGTCCTAAACTCGTGAGGTAACATTCGCGGCCCACTGCTGTGATTTGGCTGCCTCTTTAGGGTGCCAGGCTCGCAGCTGATATTGCGTGTGCTGTATGTGGTTTGTCTGAGTAACCAAAGCGGCAGGTGGATGCCTGCTTTACGTCGGAATTTCAGAGCTGTGTTCATTTACTCTGTTGATTTTATACACCTCCTCTGGTTTGGCAGGATCCTTGTGTCCAGTGGGTTTAAGGGCCTCAACTGTGCTGCTTTCAGGGTCATAAATCCACTCTTCCACTGCCAGAAAAATGGAGAGGGGACTCTTGGCTAAAACCCCCTCCCCCCTATTTACTGGTTGCTTCTGCTAGTACAGTTAGTTATATGCAGGCGTGCACCAGCTAAAAGAGATTGTTACAATAGAAAAGGTCCATGTTCACAACGAAGCCCTAATACTTTCGGGTCCCCGACAAGGCTCAGCCTCCCAGGATGGAGTTTGACGTTGTTTTTTGTTTTTCTGTGACTATCCGACTAATGAAACGTGCATTCCACTCCTTGCTCAGGCCAACTAACAGTTAAAGTCGGCTGTTAGAAGACAGCCCTCGGGGCGGCTGTACTCAGAAGGGCAGAGTCCCCCCCCAATCAGAAGGTTGTTGGTTCGATTTCCCCGGCTGCCTCCCCTGCCACGTGGCTCGAAGTATCCTTGGAGCCGCAAGATACTGAACCGCCAAATTGTCCCGATGCATAGCATCGGTGTGTGAATGTGTATAAATGAAGTTAGTTTCTGTTCGATGGACTTTGTCATCGCTGTGTGAATGTGGGTGTCAAAGGGGTTGAATGTGGCACGTAGTGAATGTGGCACGTAGTGTAAAAGCGCTTTGTGGTCGGAAGACTAGAAAGGCGCTATACAAGTACAGGTCCATTTACCATTTAAATGTGATGCTGGATTGTCAGCCCAATGTCATACACATGTCGTTTCCCAACATCATACTATGTAGAGCCTAAATTTGACACTCAGAATTTCTCATATAATGGCCAACAGTTAATATAACGCTTTCGTCATAAATGATAGTATTGTTGCTGCTATTGCTGTTGTTTTTTGATCATGATGTTTTTTTTTCCTCAGTCATACTGTGATGACCCAGACCTGGTCCTGGAGCTAAAGAACCTCATAGTCATCTTTGCTGACACACTACAGGTGGGTTAAGAGCCATGCTTCATTTGAACAGCTTGTGACTCTGAAGTGTGCAGAACAACTGAGATTAACACACTTGATTTTCTGTATGTGTGATGTTTGTGTTTGTGGGCACAGGGTTATGGTTTCCCAGTGAACCGGCTGTTTGACCTGCTGTTTGAGGTCAGAGACCAGTACAACGAAACTCTGCTGAAGAAGTGGGCACTGGTTTTCAGGTGGGCTGCTATTGCATTTAATAATTTTACATATGAGATACTTATGCAGGTAGATAAATCCTTGTGTTTGTTTTGCCAAAGACCAAAGAATTTCATTCTTTCAGAGTTGTAGTTTTTTCTCTTGAAATTTCTCCCTCATAAATGAGCTTTTGTAGAGTGGTGGTTTCTGGCATAACTTCACTTACATGCATGATGCATGGAAAGGAGAAAGTAGTCATAAGGGCTGACACATCACTAGAAACACGTCACCAACAAAACCATTGTTATCCCATGGTACAATGTTACAAACTGGACCTTTAAGTTGTTCCGTTTTGAACCAATTAGATCTTTAACTTAGGAATGAAGTAGCATTTTTTAGCACAAGAAGATATTTTCTGCTTGATAAATATGTGTATCAAAACAGTTTTGAAAAGCTTATGAAAACCTCAGACCTTTGGGAATTCCAGAGCCAAAACATCAAACTGCAGAGACCAAAGTTGGAGCACTGCCTCAAATTGGTGATCTGCCACACTGTAATCAACTGTATCACCTGTCACTTGGCTCATGATGAAAGTTCTCAAACTGTTTTGTTTTCTCAGAGCTTTGATAATGATGTACTGCGGCACTATTTGAATGTGCTTTTGTTTTGTCCTAATTTTTAATTAATCTGAAGTTCTATGCCTTGAAACCAGACTTTTTAAGGTTTTTAATGGGGAATTTTTTTTTAAGACATTTGCAGACTTTTTGTATATATGTCTTCATACATGTCTGGTGGGGATCTGTCAGAAAAGAAGAATTAATTGAAAGATCATCATAAAAGAGGACTAATTTACTACATTCAAGAATTCAAGGTTATTGAATTCATTTACGACTCAGGGTTGTTTAGTGGAATTCAGATTGTAATTCCCTTTATACTACTTGTACAACAAAAAACTGTAATAATTTACAGTAAAACTGATTAATAAGCCATACAAATAAAAAATACCATTTTGAATAATGAAGTGCTGAGCATTAATGTAAGTTCAAGTAAGTAATGCTAGTAAGCCAGCATGAACAATAACACCAATAAATTAAGCTAACTTAGCTAGCAGGATAACAACTGCATTCATCAACAACAACAAAAAAATAAATAGATACACACATAAAAACATAGATAAATAGGGATACAAACACTTAATATTTCCTGAAGCACATGGCATCCGCTCTCTAAACTTGACGAGAAGAGACACATGCTTGTTCCCTTCCTCAGGCCAAAGGAGAGGTTGGCTGAGACAGGACCAAGGACTAAATTACAGAAAAAATGTGGAAAAACAAAATCCTCACATCTTAAATACATTTTTAAAGAGAACAAAACACAAGACTCATTGTTAAACGGAGACACTGGAGGAGCTAAATCCCTTCATTTATGGATATAGTTTGAGTTCATTTAGACATAGCCACATGTGCTGCCAGGTGTAAGCGTGAGAAAGGTAATGTGTGGAGAACGTATGCATCGTGTATATAGTGTGTACACGCTTGTGTGTGTGCGGTTAGCGAGGTCCCCCAGGTTGGCGGGTCTGGGGGTGGCTGAGGGTCACGGCTCAGCGCACCCATCTGCTGCAGCTGGCCACAAGGACAGGGAGAGAGGAAAAGAGAGATGATCAGGCTATTAGCGGTGCATGCTGCCCGAGGTGGCTGGTTGAACACAACAGCTGGTGTCACAAACTGAACCAGTCTAGCAGATATAATTGAATCTTTTCCATCTCTCCTTCCCCCATCTTCCTCTCCTGCGTTTACCTCACACACCCTGCGCATTTTCAACTTTTCAACTTTTTTTTCCTAAATTTCATTTTGTCTCTCATATTTTTCTTTGTATATATGTTATTTCCCATTGTATTCCTTGATACTTTGACTTGTCTTGGTGCTTTTCATCCTTCTTCCTTACCCAGTGTCATGGCTCATCGGTATGAGGGTGTTGATTCTTTGGCTCCACAGCTGTATAGGGTCCATAAAATGGTTCATAAAACAGAAAATACAAGTAGGGCCCATGTAAACAGAACCCCCCCCCCCGTCTTGTCTACCTGCCCAGGGATAACAGAAGTAAATTAGCTATTAACTAACTCCTGTGCAATTACTTTTAATTGTGCACTGTCCCTGCAAAAATAATAAATATAACATTGATTAGTACGTTTTAGAGATGCTCTTTGGTGGATGGTATTACCTTTGGACAGAGCTAGATTAGCTGTTTTCCCAGTTTTCAGTCTTTGCGCTAAGCTAACCTAGCTGACTGCTGGCGGTAGCTTCATATTTACAGTAAAGACATGAGAGTGGTGACAATCTTCTCATCTACCTCTCAGCAAGATGAAAAAGGAACTTGTACATGAACATTTCCCAAATATGGATATTCCTTTAACATCTGCCTAACTCCACCTTTACCCCTACCTTCCCTTCTCCAGGGTTGGCTGTGTGAGCTGCTTCGGTGGAAGGAGAACCCCAGCCCAGAGAACCGCACTCTGTGGGAGAACCTGTGCACCATTCGGAGGTTTCTGACCCTGCCGCAGGCCGACAGAGACATGGCGTACGAGGAGGAATCCAGGCACCATCACACCGAGAGGCTGCACACCGTCCTCCACCTGCCACAGGACACACAGGTAAGAACCATACACTCATATCTCCAAGTCCAGATGGACACATAAATTCAACAAAGACAATCTCTGTCAATCATCTCATCTAAGTCTCGCCCAGAAAGCCAATAATCGTTTTTTTCCCCAAATATATTCCTTTAAATATATGTGCTCTTCTTGAAAGTGGTCCTACCAAACAAGACATAAATATGTTCAGTAACTTCTTCATAATAAGAGCATTACTCACCACACACAAACACGGATTGAAAAGGTTGTCCCCAATGGTAGCGAGGGTTGTTATTGAACATACTAAGAGCCTTCTACTATCATGACTGAACACACACTTTCTAAGTCAAAAAAGGTGTTTGTATTTCCTCAGACCACACCTGTCCTTATTAAGTTCCTATTACATTCATTTGGTGTAACTATGTACTGTACTGTTTGATCTAGCTGTGTGTGCACATGTGTTTGTGTGTCTGTGTGTGCCCCAGTGGAACGAAGAGTAAACAGTGTTGCTGGGTGGTGTGGCACAGGAGGAAATGCCCCATTAGTTTTTGAGGAGGGAGGAGGAGGCTGAATGAGGGCTGAGGGAGATCGATGCAGGAAATACACTGAAGCGTTGGCCTCTGTCATTACTGTAACCCTCCCACCCTGACACACACCCTGAACCCTGTTTGTCTCTCTTAGTCTTTTTATTACTCTCAAGCCCTATAGATAACACTTTAAGCAGAAGACACCACAGGCATATGAATATTACAAAAAATATGAAAAACCATCTTTTCTCACACAACATACACATCCTTTGTTTTGCTGGCTCTGTACTTAGTACGTTGGATTGTTTTGAGATTTAAGTGCCGAGGTTCAGCAGGAGGTTTACATCCACATCAGATGAGCAGCGTAGGAATTTTAATCTTTTACAAACCCAATACCCATATTTAGGGTTCAAAGTAAGTTAAGTTGTTGTTACAAATGTAAAATAAACTTGTGAAATTTGTGTAAACTGAGTGTGTTAACTATGTTTAATATTTGGTTGTAAATCAAGTCATTAGCAATTAAAACATGTTCATTTTGATTGAAGTCAGGGGACGTGTTACAGACACTTGCTATCTTAAGTCTTAAGTTAAGGTCGGAAGAGTCTATGGTAGGGTTTTTACTATAGCGGTGTTACTATCTTATCTTACTTCACCCTATCTCCTAAATACTGACAGTAGTATTCTAATAATAGCCACTTTTATAGTCAATAATGTAGAATCATCCAGTTTAAAACCAATGAGCACATTTGGAACATGATTGGTGGTGTTGATGAAGGGGTACTTGAGTTCATCTGATAGAACTTCTGAATAAACAGGTTGAGCTAAGCTGACATCTGCAGGCTCCAGGTTTATTTTTAACTGACAGATTTGGAAGAATTGTGTGAATAAGTGAATAAAAATGTTGAACTTTTCCTTTAAATTCAATGTGCTGGAGTCCAGAGCAACAATAACAGAACATGTGTCACTTTTCTACTACTGCACTGTAAAAGGGTCAAAGTTCAGGGTCAGCCTGCTCAAACACACACCAGCAGGGCTGAGGCCCGAGCCCAGGTCCTCCGGTTGAGAGATAGTCTGTCTAACCACCAGCCCACCCTGCCCCCGATGCAAAGCCATTATATACCACATATAGTATATAACATATGCCATAAATCAAAAACAGGCAAATGCTGAAGCTTCCCTTTTAGCATCCCGACATGAATACTACAGTATGGGGTTGTTTTGCGGCTCCACCCACCACCAAGCAATTTCTCCCTCTTCCCATTTAGAGCGCTGTATTAAAGGCTGATGGGAAGACGGGCAGGAAGCTGTGGTGGCACCATTAACACATTCCTCTGCTACTCTCACACTCTCAGCAAAGATTAAAAATAAAGTTAACCCTCATAACACCCTGGTTGTAACCCCCTCCGCCGACCCCCACCCACCTCCAGAGATTCAGAGAGATGAACTGTGGTAAAACACTGGTGATTTATTAATGGGAAATGAGGTGTGTGCGTGTATAGATATGTGTGTGTTGTTGTCTTCAGACCCCCCTTCGGTCCCAGATGAAGCTCCCACCAACCTCAGGCTCCAGCCAGCCTGCCACCACAGACCACACATGTGTCCCATCTGCCACACATGCACATATACAGCGTCTCACACTGATAGTCGGTAATGTGAGCACTCTTTTGTGTTGTGGACAATAAGAGGGTTTCTAAAACTCTAACAACCAACCACAGAATACACATGAAAAATGAATGTGGCGATGAGGCATAGCTGTACAGTTAATCCGCACATCAGTAATGTGTGTGTGTGTGTGTCTGGACTGGTCCGTATGTACAGTAGCGTGAGCCATTTCTGCATGTTGGGGGTTCTGGGAGATCTCTGGCTGTGTCACAGTTTTATACAGTATTAAGTCTGCAGGTGTTGCGTGTGTGTGTGTGTATGTGCATGTCAGTAACCTCAGCAGCTTCACATTTCTCCATGAGCGACAAGGTCCTGGTGCTCGCTCTGCAGCTCTTATTCATACAGCTTTAGCAGTTAAGTGCATCCCAGAGCTAATTTGGCAGAGTCTGCCCTTATAAATAATTTTTGTATTGTTTTTGCTAAATTGATTTCTGCCGCAAGTCTGGGGGTGTTTGTGTGTGTCCATGTGTGCGTGTGCATGACCGCTTACCGTTGCTGAGACCCCAGGAGTGGTGGACTAGAACAAGAAGTAACAAGCACTGCGCCCCTCCTCCTCTCTCTTGTGTCTCGGTTTCAGGCAAAGGTGCTTCACTGGCATCACGGACAAATCGCTCCTAAATGCCTATGTCTTTTAAACTCCACACCCCGTTGTGTAACGCAGACTTCCTGTTAAAAATGGGAAATCTTCAAGCCCAAGCCAAGAAAACACTGATGACCTCACCAGGTATTATTTTCTCAGAGTCTGGAAAGTTCCCACCAGAGCCCTTAAACAACTGTTCGCCAGAGCTTCCCATGATGAGTAAACTGATCTTAATGTGTAAAATCAGTGAGTGCCTCTTTAAAAGATCACATGATTCTCCATAGACTGGAAAAAGGCCCGACCTATTGGAAACAAACTCCAGTGTTTATATTCAGTGATGGCTGAATTCCATTTAGCTGCTTGAGCTTCAGGGTCTCGGTATGCTGGATCACTGTCACACTATCATTGCTTACTGGGTCATGGGTTAGCTTTAACATATGTTAGTCCATTTATTGTCATTTGGTGGTTCGATCCTTGACTCCTTGTGTTCTTGAGTAAGACACTAAACCCCAAATTGCTCCCAATGTACCAATGTGTACTGTATGAGGGAAAACATACAAACGAATACACCAAGTTATACAGTTAGCCACCTTTATAAGCTTTAACTAAATAGCCAACTTAGCATTAGCAGCTGTTTACTTACAAGCCTAGAAGAAATGTTGCGAGTTCAGCATCAAACTTTATTTCGTTACCTGCCAAAAGCTGTCACCAGCAGTGGAAGGCAAAGCCAACGTTTACTCGTTTTTCTTCAATTTCTTCTTTACTTATTACTTCATGGTTTCTTGCCCTTGGGGCAGCACTACTTATTCATACTCTTATGTTGTACTGAGGGCAGACTGGACACTACAGTGACTCATTATCGTCTCTTGAGTTACAAAGTGGTATTACGAAACGGGAAGTGCTGACTAGCTGGTTTGCATGCTAACTTCAGTGGATATCTCTGCAACACAATATGTCAAAGCTGTTATTTCTTCACATTCTGTTGATAATTTTGGAATGTTTTAAACTAAAATTTGTTGATATTGCTCCTAAATACTAGAAAACCAACAATGTATGCATCCGCATTTGAAAATAGTCCCAACCAAATACTCCTGTTTGAGTAACATTTGCTAAAAACTACAGTGTCCAGCTTGTTTGTGACCAGCTCTAAAACACGTATGCCTTTAGTAGGAACCACTATGCTTGGGTCAGAGGGACAGAGTGAGGGTCAGGAAGTTGGAAATGATTGAGCTGGATTAGCACAGTTAGTTTTGTTCTTTTTGAAAAGTCATGCCACATAAATTAATTTTTTATGTCATTGTGAAAACATGATTTGCTGCATTTTTTTTCCAAAATATAATTGTATTTGTTTGAATAGCTGACAATTGTTGTTTGTGTACTTACAGAGAAAGTAGCTGCCTCTCTTTCTACTGTATGTTTCCCTCTCCAGCCCTTAGTGCATCCCGGTGGCCTCTTTTTCACTGTTGCAGGGTGGAGTTTGGGCTCTTTGGCAAACCACAATTAAGTTAATTGTTTAATTGCTGATAAGTGGAATGAATACCTCACACAGTTTGAATGAAAAAAATATGCAACAAGGCAAGTGCGTGCATGCATATGCACATATGACCACACAAACAAACACACACACA